TCCTTTTTTGAACTGTGAATCACTTTGATAATCACTTAATTTAACCATAATTAGAAAAAAACATATAAATCTTATTCAATATCTTTCTGAAAAGAACAGATGACTAAAGAAACTTAATACTTAACCCAAATGCAAATACTCTAAACAATGTAAAGTCAAAATGCATATAATAAAAATGATTTCAGAAACAATTTCACTCGGAAGGATAAGAAGAAAAATTCAAAGAAGAGCCCACCTGCTGTTCCAGGGAATGGATCCTCAATTCGCAGCGCTCCTTCTCCTGCCGCAGGACCTCCAGCTGGTTAGTTAAGCGACGGATTTTTTCACTGTCTACTTGACGTTCCCGTCTGTGATCACTGCTCATTTCTAATGTCTGTGGATATTTTGCATTATCATAAGAATTGTGTTGCATTATTTTCTAAGCACTACTTCCTAATAGTGCAAAGCTTTGCTCTTTGACACTTCTGAATGAGTTGATATTATTTTTATCATGATGGAAGGGACAAATGTCTTTTTAATAAAGAAAGAAGAGAAAGTTGATTAAATACCTTGTTCACTGTTTACTTGGCACATAAGTATGATGATCACCAGAAAGAAATGAATGTAACCCATTCAAATGTCAAAAATACTTATTTAATTAACAATCATTTGGAAAAAAGAAATAATGGACATTATTATACACATATCCTCCACACATCCACATTTACATACTTCCTTCAGGTGTTTTTGCTGCAACTCTGTCTTCAGTGTTTCCAAGTCATCAATTTTCCGTCGCAGTTCTAGGTTCTCAATCCGCAAGGCACTGATGTTTGAGTCCTCCATGCCACCCAAACCTTCTGAGCGTCGGTCGCGTCGGTCTTCATACTGGGTATGGAATGACAACTTAAGAGCATCTTCCGACTGTGCAACTATATCAGCAACAGGGAACCACTAACTTTGAGAATTAAACTACATATCTTTCTTTGCACTGTATCCTTCTTACAAAATAAAATGAAAAGAGTATCATATGCTTTTGATTACTGTGATTTAAATACAACTGCAAGGAAGGAATGAGCAAAGAGCTTCTACTGGTCAATGAAGCTAATATAACAGACAGTGAGGACAAATAAGAGCACACACACAGAGCTAACTACAAGCTACTACACACAAATAGAAGCAAAAGCATTCCTACCTTATCCAAGATCTTCTTAAGGTCAGACTTATCCTTGTCAAATCTATAATCAGACTTTTCAAGGTCATGTTTTTCAGCTTCACTCACAGCTAACTTCCTCTGTTGGTTAAGAAGGTTTGTGAGGAGGATCCAGAAGCTTTTTATACAGTTAATAGGCTATGGTCTACTACACAACGGTCTAGTTCATCGTACAAAGCCGGGTTCAGATACAAACACAAAATGGCCAGTGATTTTCCTCATACATATACACACAGCACTGGATCTTTTCTGTGTAAATGATATTTTCTGTTTGACTTGTATAAACTAAACAGAGCTTGCATGACATCTTTTAGCATGCTGTTTACTGCTTTTAGCAACCTAGCATCTTACTAAAAATTCATTGTGAAATGAGTATCCATAGTATCAATCTATACAAAGCATGAATATAATAAAATACACAGGTGCATTGATATACATACAACTAAAGCCTGCACATGTCTGCATGATGTCCTATATGCAGATATACTTGAAGTGACAAATATCAGCTTTTAACATTTACATACAAACAAATACAGTGATCTATGTGCAAAATCAATCATCAAATATAAACCAAAATATAATGAGAGTATAAATTATAAATAAATAGATAATGCATCATCAGACACACCCTAAAAAATAAAACTAGCATCTAGTCTACTAGCCTCAAAAACTTATTTAGAAATATCCAAAACTCTATACTGAAAAATTGTGTAACTGTACAACAGTATAAACTTTCTTTCCTGAAGCTTGTAAAATATGCTTCAGCAGTAGTTTAAAAGGAGAAAAGGGAAGTTATAAACACTTCCTTAAAGTGTTATATACAAAGTTAGCTTTGGCAGCATTCACGGATCATTTATAATATTATCTGTTTCATGAAAGCTATTTCATCTGCAGAGATCTGCAGTACCAAATTTATGCCTGCTCCTCTTAAAGTCTCAAGCTAGCTATTACTTGTGTACCATTTAATGAAAATATATAAGATAAAAGAACATACATATTCAAAAAATTAAGTATCAAAAGTTTATTACATATATGCGCTCAAAAATAATAAAAAATACCCAGCAGACAAATAATCTTCCAGCAAAAATCAGCACTATGAAAATATAGTTATAAACTTAACATACAATCTTCTAAGCTGTATAAAAACATAGAGGAAATAACTCCAAAAGAAGAGCAATATATGCCATTTGATCAAAATTATCAATCTCAATATCATTTGTGTTGCAACTGTTCACTTTGCTTTCAAATAGAATAAAAGTGTAATTGAAGAACCATGAGAAATGCTGGAGTTTATAGAGGAAACATAACAGCATTAACAGCTGCACTGTGATATTAAGAAAGGCAAAAGGATTGACTTTAACATGGATAAAGTATGAACTGTAACTATAACAAAGACTGAAAAGGAAAGAGTGATAAAGTTACTGATTGTACGGAGACGACAACCTAACTTACATTATATCACAGAACTACATATTGAAAGAATTATAATGTTAATAATGATGAACTACATATTGAAACAATCACAATACCAATAATAATGATCCCTCAGAACCACAAATTCTTCAGGTTAAAAGTCTACTGACTATTATTGAATAAGCAATTATGTCATCAACTACCACAAAAAGACAAAATAATGGATGAAATATTTGCTATTTTTCCCCTGGTAACTGAATCCTTTTGCAACGTAACTCATAAGAGCATGATATCTAGTTATCTAACCAACTTTTATCATAAGATCAATATCTGCCATTAAACTTTAGAGAATTTGATACATGTTATATCAAATTCTGGATTTTATCCATACAGTAATAATCATAAACGAATCTTTAAAGCATAAGAAGACCAAAAAAATTCTACTCCATATCACTGCGACACAAACTTTTGAGGAACAAAAATATTTCCATATTTACTGAAAATACTACCTTAAAAGAATGTTTCAAATAAAATTATATGAGCTCTTAAAAAAACAACACCTGATCTTTTTTTTACCACATGGTATAAATGGAAATGAATAGTTCTGCAATTTGGGATGCGTAATTAATACCACACCAATTACATAATTCAGGATATGGGATTATTCATTCTAATTCATAACTTTTCAACTGATTCTAACAATAAATCTATAATCATCGGAAATGATAAAACTGAACTTGCCACAAATTCACTTGCATTCTATTAAACAAAATTCTAGGTTAATGCCCCTTATTTTCCAAAACATATTACAGAATATACTTGGTTTATGTGCCTCTCTCTTAATATGAATACACCGAACTCACCTCTAATTCTGCAAGATGTGAACGGAGATCTGATTTTTCTTGCTCTAATCGAGTCACCTTTGAGATGAGCTCATCTGTTGCAGATGATCGCTCGCCAAGGTTCTGTAGAAATTCACATATTATTTAGCGACCATAAATGCCATAGAGCACAGAATGTTATTCTATGAAGCAAAAGTAAAACATATTTGATAGGCAGGATGGACCAGACTGCATTATTTGTTCACAGACAACATATTCTCTATGTAGTTTGTGATTTGTTCTCTTGGAGTCTGCACAAAACCTTCCATTCTACACAGCTTAATAATCAGCAAAATAAATTAATCTAACTAGGCTAATTATCACATAATGAAGAAGACTGTTTTAATGGGACAATGTATTTCCCTGGTTTGTACCAATCTTTGGGTTGTCTGTTTGGTACCAATGGGGCAATGTATTCTCCCTGGTTTGGTACCAATCTCTGTTATGAAGATTTGATTTTGTGTCTGTGCAATGAACAAGGAATGAAGTCTGGAGTAACAATATTTCTGTAAATCAGAATAAAACAACTGTTGTTATAAATGGTGTGGAGACATACACACACATGCACACAAATGTACAAATAGAAAAACCAACTCTTGAAATTCTTATTTCAGAATAATCTGATACCTGGTCTCAAGACATGTACATGACTTTCATGGATTTCTATAATATCACTTTAATATGTTCCTTCACAAAAGAATAAAATGCATTACACACTATATGAATATTCATAAACTGTCAATCTACAGTATACAGGCTGGCAAAAAAGTAAATGTTCTGTTTATTTTCCTATCTCAAAATGATTAAGCATTGAATTCCAGAAAGATCTGCATTAATCACATGTATTAGCATTCTGGACTTAGTAAACATTCTCTTTTGACATTAATTGAAATTTTGTTGCAGCTTTTATGAATGCTTTTTCCGTTTTTACTTCAATTTAATTTAATGGTATGTCAGGGGATTAGAGTAAAAGTACAGGCTTTCTACCATTCTTTAATTGAATCACGTGTCCGAATTTTGTACCTCCTTCAATTTTGGCAAAGGGAAAGAGTGGCATATGGCAACGTCAACTTTGCAATCTGATATAATATGCCTATCTAACCCTTAAATGTTGTTGAAGAATACAAATATAAAATCATATTGTGCTGTGAATCATTTACACAGGTAAATGTATTATATAATCATAAGGGAAGCTAATAATAAGAAAAATATTGAATAGAATTTTTCAAGTTCCTACATATAAATTCCTGAATATGAAAGCCTGACGATATCTTTCCATCTAATAAAGGAATAGGAGTTTAGCTAGTATCTCCCTGTATATTTTCCTATTTTTGTGCCAAGTTTGCCTGATTCTGCTCATATTTTTCTAACCTGAAATATAATAAAAAGTTACCCATGTAGTATTCATCACTTTTCATGTATTTTGTTGCATTATAAATTGCATCCACTGTATTATCATACAAAATCTATAAAACTTCTTTCTATGTTCACAGTGGTAGGAAAAAATGTAAGAAAGCGGCAATTCCCCCTAAAAAAAACTTTCAAAATAAGTACTCAAGGTCAAAGTAACATTTGTTTCTGCTGAAATTCTATAATTTTTTCTTAAAGTTTAACTCACGCCTTTAGAAGTAAAGTAATTGAAAATAATTAGTGATTTACCATTGTTGGTTTACAAATGCTTTAAAGTATCAATCAAATTCTGAAATTGTGTTTAAAAAAAATCTTACACACACACACACACACCATCACACAAACATATAGCTTAGGGCATATTATATCAAATATATGATTATTTTTATAAAATACAGAATGAACATACAAATGGGTCAACTTTTCTGTATACCTTTGTAGAACCTCGACTATCTACAAGAAGAATGCTATGCAGACTACACAGACTTTACTATAAGGAAAAGCAAATACAAACATTTACATCGGTTATCTAAAAAATGTGCAAATCTGATCAAATAAAAGTTCAGAGTAATAATAAAACAATAGACATACATCAAGCTATCAAAGGAGGTAGTAGCAGGGAGGTTCTGTAAAGCTAAGATAGGACAGTGCTTCAGAAAAGAGTAACTATAACCTGGCAATCACCTCAAAGTGGAGGGCAAATCAAACAGGAAGTTCTGCACATTCTTTAAGAATCTCTTAGCAACTCATACCATGTAAATATGATTAAACTTACAATTACAATATGCTGCGATGACCGTAGATCAAATTACCAAAGGCTGACGACAGATGGACTCAACAAAACAAAACTTGGATCACATTGCTTAATCATCTTGGTATGTCAACATAGTATGACTTATCATAACAAAATTTGTTTGATATTTTGTACTATGCTATTGGGTTCATCTAAGCCTTTACACCAAACACTGTATAGAAAATTTAAGCCACTTTATGAACCTATACTAACTGTCACCCTCTTAAATACATGCATACTATTTTTAGGAATAGTATCACAGAGTTGTATTTTCCAGCATAATACATAGTCATGAGCTACTCTAACCAGACATTATCATTATCCAAGTAATTCTTTTTTGGAGTTCTACACTATTTTTCCAAATTAAGGATTTTTACAGCTTAACACTAATACATCTTTTATGAACACTTTTGCTTATGCACTATTACAATATTGCATAGCCTCCTATTACTCTCATACATTATATATAATACAGTTAATCAACTGATTTACAATTTCTTTACAGTCTAGTATGTAAAACTAAACTTATATATAATACACAATTCAGGATATAGAATCAAACTAAAGATAACAATAATTTGCAATTTACAGCAAAACACACAAACATAAAAATATTGTGACTAGTACATCGAACAAAGGAATTTTAAGGAATCCTCTCATCTAAGTTATACATTTTGCTTTACCTAAAATAGTCGAGGCTCCACTTAATATTACTCAAAAGTCCCATTTTTTTTTTTTATAAGATAAGAGGAAAGCACTTGATATTTGTTAAAAACAGCAAATCTACACATGCTGTGTATTAGTAATATCTGTGTGTCCTGGAGTATGTGAGAGAGGGGGGAAAGGAGCAGGAAGAAAAAAGAAGAAGGAGAGAGAGAGAGAGAGAGAGAGAGAGAGAGAGAGAGAGAGAGAGAGAGAGAGAGAGAGAGAGAGAGAGAGAGAGAGAGAGAGAGAGAGAGAGAGAGAGAGAGAGAGAGAGAGAGAGAGAGAGAGAGAGAGAGAGAGAGAGAGAGAGAGAGAGAAGAGAGAGAGAGAGAGAGAGAGAGAGAGAGAGAGAGAGAGAGAGAGAGAGAGAGAGAGAGAGAGAGAGAGAGAGAGAGAGAGAGAGAGAGAGAGAGAGAGAGAGAGAGAGAGAGAGAGAGAGAGAGAGAGAGAGAGAGAGAGAGAGAGAGAGAGAGAGAGAGAGAGAGAGAGAGAGAGACAGAGAGAGAGAGAGAGAGAGAGAGAGAGAGAGAGAGAAACAGAGAGAGAGAGAGAGAGAGAGAGAGAGAGAGAGAGAGAGAGAAACAGAGAGAGAGAGAGAAACAGAGAGAGAGAGAGAAACAGAGAGAGAGAGAGAGAGAGAGAAACAGAGAGAGAGAGAGAAACAGAGAGAGAGAGAGAGAGAGAGAGAGAGAGAGAGAGAGAGAGAGAGAGAGAGAGAGAGAGAGAGAGAGAGAGAGAGAGAGAGAGAGAGAGAGAGAGAGAGAGAGAGAGAGAGAGAGAGAGAGAGAAAATGTGTGTGCATGTGTAATGCATATATATGTATGTATATATGTACGTATGTAAACATTTATGTTTTTAAGTAAGTGTATATACACATACGTAAATGTGTACATACCTATATATCGGTATGAGTGTGTGTTAGTAACTGCAAGCCCATACTAAACCCTATCACATTCACTACTGCCTCAAGTCGTTTGTGTATCCTGAGGTGGTACATTCAATTTATTCTGAATGATGCTAATTACCCCTTTCAGAGACTTCATTTTCATCTCCAGCTCCGCATTCTTTATCTCAGCATTGGAAAGATCTTGTTGAGCCTTGCTCTTGTATTCCGTCAGCTGATCCTTCTGCCTCTTCAGTTCACCCACGGCACTCTGCAGGTCTGCTACGCGCTCCTCCAGTTGTCGGCGTTCAGCATCGCTTCTCGCCAGCTGGCTCTGAGACTATAGGGATTGTAGAATGATTATTTACTGATTATCAAAATGGGCTACATAATTTTTTGTGGTATCCATGCAGCTTGTAGAAAATATATCCAGCGTCTCATGTACATAAATATGAATTATACAGATGCAGTAGAAAAGGCACACCATTTGGCTTTAATAAAAAAAATATATACATATATATTTTATTAATTAATATACTTTTTCCTCTGAATCAAGTTTGCAAGAGACTTAACTTTATCAGATATCTGAACACCAATGAGAATCAAAAAACCTGTATCTGGCTTTCCTAAAATAAAGCTTTATTGCTATTTCCTGATGACAATCACTAAGAAAAAATAATTTTCACTGAAAAGATTTATATATCATTGCATTAACAATATAATGGGAAAAAGAGAAAAACTCAGGATTAATTCTATATTTGCATAATAAATATTGTCACCTGACTTTCCTAATGTTCAACAATAGTTTTCCACATGACCAGGAAAATGTGAACACTAGAATTAACATACCCGACTGAGTTCTTCCTGCATGCTGCCCGATGAAGCCACAGTCTCCTTCAGAGATCGATTGATAGCCGAGAGTTTATCCTTGAGTTCAGATTCCGAGTTGGATACGATTGCCATTCTTGTCTTCAGGTCTTCCACTTTACTTTTGAGGATCGCATTCTGATCTTCAATGGAACGCATCATTCTGCTGCTGTTCTCTCGAGTTGAGTGAAGGTTCTTTGGGAACAGAAAGAGGGGGTCTTGCTATATAATGCTTGGTCAAATGTTAAAATGTTAAAAAATAATAAGAATTAAAAAGATGAAGCTGTGAAATGAAGAAGAACAAATAGAAGAAGACGCAAAAGTCTGATCTTAGGAAATCTACCAAATACCAATAATAATCTAAGAATCATCTACATTACCTCACCTAAGAACAACAAACTCTCAAGCTGAAAAGAATGGCTTAATCTTTCAGGCTTCGCTGGTTGCAGTCATTTCAATAGCTCTATACCATGCATCAGAAAATATATATTGCACTGTCATAAACAGATACATAGGGCGTAATAATTTGGAACTGTTATCCCAGTTACCCCTCACATGTGAATGAAAATGCGGATAAATCAAAGATTGAAATAAAATAAAATGTATATCTAACTCTATTTCATGTATCCAGATATTTAAGTAATAAAAAGACAATGATACATCGGGAGGGAACTGCCATAATTAATTATGACTGCTGGAAAACACAACTACATGATTAGCTTTGAGTGATGAAGGTTTAGAAAGGGACTGAACTTGCAACACAGTACCAGATATTATGGATACTGCCCATTCCCTCTAAAGAAAAAGAAAAAGAAAAAAAAAGATGTCAATTGCAAATTTTAAAGACCAACTATATTGCATAAAATGTAGTTTCATTAAAAATATACTAGTCTTTAATCACTTCTGGAATACTCAAATACTCTCTTATCTTAACTTTTTTCCATTAATAAACTAGAATGAACCTGCCTTATTATAAAAAAAGGTGAAATCTAGAAATTCTTCCTATTATGCATATTAATGAGACCTGTAACTGTAGATGCAAATGTTGCCTGCAAGATCATTTATCATGACTACAGCAGTTCCTCCCAAATTTTCTTTACCTCAATTTCCATCTGCTTCTCATTGATAGCCTTCTTAGAAGAACTGAGATCTGCCTCTAGTCTTGTCTTTGAGTCCTCAAGGAGAGTTCCTCGTTGTTCTGCAGCTCTTAGCTTTTCCTTAATGTCTGCATTTTCAATTTCCAGTCGACCAACTGCACTTTTCAGTTTCTGTACACGGTCCTATAGGGTACAAAATAATGGATTCAATAAAATATGGGACATTCATTTTCTTTAAATTATATCTTTATAATCAGTACTGTGAACATGTAGACACTCCACATATACATCCTTAAAAGCAATCCACTCTTAAACAATAGAGACGGTTTTATCTATAGAATATAATTTTCTCAGAACTTACATCCAGAGTGCTCCTGTCATGCTCCAGGTCAGAGACCTTACGCCTTGTGTTGCTCAGCTCCTCATTCAGGGTGCGGATCTCACTCTCCTTGCGTCGAAGAGCGTCCTCCTGGAAACATTTTTTTGATGTTTAGAAAAATTACTATTTGTGTTACATCCCTTGATGGTCTCAAACATTCATAAATGATATCTGCTTCTGTGATTTAGTAAATTATGATTAGTAAAATATACTGTCTTGATTGTTGGGAAGTGTTGGGAATGTGACACCTTTTTCTGACACAAAATCCATATTGTAAAAAAAAAAATCATATTCCTAAGCTCAATTCAAGTAAAGGCCCTCTCACCTGCTGGCTGGCATTTGACAAGGACTTATTAAGTTTGTCATCTGCATAGCGCTTCTTCTCCTCTAACTCTGAGAGGGTGCGAGTAACGTCTCTTAGTCTTGCCTCCGACTTGTGGTGAGACTCCTGAAGCTCGGAAAGCTGACGTTCAAGACTCGAAACACGAGCCATGGCGTCATCCTGTAAATTCAAAGAGTAGAGTCAAGATGGGAAATTCATTTTTCATCTTTCATCAAATCTAAACAAAACTTGAATCTAGCATACAACAATAAACTAAATTATGTGCTATCCTTTTCAAAAATTTGGATAATCAGAATTAACCAAGAGTATACCCTAAATTCCTCTCACCCTTTCCAGTTCTACTTGGTTCATCTGTGTCATGAGAGCTCGCAACTCATGGCGAACAGTCTCTGGGTCAATGTCAGCAACGTTGACCTTTTCAGATGATCCAAAAGCTTCAATGGATGCATGTAGATCACTCTGGCTACCAGACAGTTCGAAACCTGTAGGTGATGGTGGATTATTTAGGCGTAAACATAACATAATATCTTATATGTATATAATTTGGAATAAAACAATTAAAAATAAACAAAAAGATGTATGGACATGTTTGGTTATCTTTATGTTTACATGTGTATCACATCGCACAAACACACACACACCACTATAAAAACTTGTGGAAACTACAGCAAAAATTACAAAGCTTTACAATTACTTTACAAAAATTTTCTACCAATACCCTCACACACATGTCAAAGCAACAGCATGTTATTTAGAGAGAGAGAGTGTGGGTGAAGAGTGTAATCAAAGTATGTATATATTTATAATAATAATGAATATGTACATCACCAAAGTCACTTTATAAATCAACTGTAATTCTTGTTTCTCTACTGTAATTATCTATATCTGAAAAAATATAATTCCAAACTTGGTTTTCTCTTTGGCTGTCCTAAATTGATTACTGGAAATATATGTTAAGACAAAAAAAAAAAAAAAAATACATATATAATAAATAGATATGAACCAGTCAGACAGTACTAGACTTTCTTGTTAAACAGTGCATGGAGATAGTCAAAAATATGAAACATTTCAATATAAAGAGTAACTCATCCAGTTTTAATTTATTCCTTTGTAGAAAAAAGCTCATGGTTAATAGAGAGCTTATATTCTTATGAATCAAAGAACATTATACAGACAAAAAACCTAATCATAATCTTTATTGAACAAATCAAAATCAAATCAAATGTGGAAAATGATAACAAAACCAAAAGAGGAAGAGCCACAAAAAAAAGAGAAAAAAAAAGATGGAAGGAGGAGACAAAACACAAAGCCACTATTTACACTCCTGTCACAAAAGGAGTAGGCTATCCTTAACTGACACAGAACAATTCACGTACACATCAATTAAGGATATAAGTTCATTACTGAGTATATTTAGATATAATATATTTCCTTAACTTAACAGCATTACTATAATACTGTGAACATTACTTTTTCAGCTGGAGCAAAAGCAGTATCAATTGTAAATTCTACAAAGCAAGCTCTTTCTTTAATTGTATACCTTTAAGATATAGTAATAGGAAATGTCCAAATATCTGTCAAGCGAAATGACTTGGAGGCAATTCTGACCACAAATTCAGAAAAAAGTTCTAAGTGATCTATTCATCATTAATAAACTGGCACTGAATAGACAGCTGAATGTATAAGCTTCAATGCCTTTTCATATTTGTCATATATTGATAACAAATTGAATCAATATCAGTATGTCAACAATAGATCGTATATGTAAAATGCATCATCGAGGAATATAGATGATATGGATTTATCAGATTCTAGAAAATTGATTGTAAAATGTGATATGCACAAGCTGCAGTAAGGGAATAAAGACTTGATAAAAATCCAAAATTGAAAATTAACAAAAATATGAATGGAAAACAAAGTAACAACAGATTTTCTTCTTACCATGGTACTACCAAGTTGCTCAAGTAAAGTATCTAAAATGAAGCAGGAGAATAAAGAAAAAGCAAGAATGAAGAGGAACAGAAAAGAAAAAAATATCAGCTTTTATCTATGTACATTAAAATACACATAGCTGCTTCTATAGATAAAGACATACATTTTACCTGCTTTGCATATGGTGATTATGGACGCATTTCACACGGCTATTCAGGCCTCACCCAAGAGGAAGATATGAACCCATTCTATGAAAGTTTGGAATCCTTCACATTTCTTGATACCTCACTTAGCTTTACCTCTAAAGAACAGCAAAGTTCAGAGTTACATGTGAATGCAGGACAGGAAAAAAGCATTTACTGGTCTGCTTTAATACCAAATTATTTTGTCTTATGTTGTTCTAATTTGGATATTTATATGATGAATAATTTGGATATTTTTTCTAAAACTTCTGCCCTCCTATGTCCAGTGCACACACATAACTGAGAATGATAGTTGCTATATTTTTTTTCTTTAGTGGTTAAGAAAGGACTGACATGTAAGGATCCTTTTCTGTTTAAACACGAGGTTTGAACTGATGAGTAATCACTCGCTGGTTGGTCTTTCTTTATGCTATATTCTTCTTGGCTTGCAAAAGACCGAAATCATCTTCCTGTATGGAATACCCATCTTCTCCAGCTTCTTGTAATGGTTGACTTGAATGTATTAGGCAGATCTTCATTAATTCATTACAGTGTTTCTATATTTCTGGACATCAGTGTTCCTTTCTGTATCATGAGTGTGCTGCATATCAATGCTCAATACTGAAGCTACTAATCCTACAACTAAGGTTCATCCGAATTTATATTATATACCCTCATGTGAATTTTTATCAGTTTTCATGACATTATTCAAGAGCCTGAATCATCAAAAACTACATTAGTACTCTGAAATTGAGCAAACACTTAGCAGTTCCTACAGTTCACAAATCCTAATTTAAAATTTTGACAAAAGCCTTAAAAACCCTTGCAAGAAATATATTGAAATACATACTCCGTTTCAGCTGTCTTCCTAACTTTTAACAAATCTGTGTCTATTTTGCTGCAACTTCTATATGTATGATAACAATGAATTAAAATCAACATTATTTCCCTGTCAAATAGTAATACTTAAATATCTACAAAATATCAACTTTTGCTAAATCCTACTATGTCTAAAAGCCTGACAATACAACGAAGATGAGCCAGGTCAATATGATCTGAAAATACTATCTTTCGCACATGATAGGTTCCATTTCAAAGAGCATACCAATGTCAATCATCTCCGCCTCAACACATTTCTCATAGCACTCAAGGGGTTTCAGACGAGGCATCCACAAATCTTGATCAAATCTTCCATATTTCAACCAGCTCTTGTAGATCTTACTTGTGGAACAATGAGGAAGAGAACATGGAAGTGGCTCCATAGATATATGCTTATTGCCTCAGATGATGACTTCGCCTATTGGTCCAGTGCAGAGGCAGGCTTTTCGCTGTTGAGAATGGGTTCACGTCTTGGCTTGGAGGAGGGTGAAGCCATGATGCTGGTGATCACATGAAATGTAACAGCATCAGGATGAACTTTAGAGGTTTCAATCTCTTTCATCACATTACTTTCCTGCTTCAGGTTAGATATCTCACTAATAAAAACAAGATGGTACCACAGTAGAAAAAATAAAATAAATAGAACTTAATAAAAGTAACACAATCAGAAGAGAGAGAAAGAGATAGATTTATGGTGAAAACTCACATTAATATATATATATGTATATACACTTTTTAAATACAATTCTGGATATTAAAGCTGGAAGCATATCTGTAACTGTCTTATGACACATGCAAAGAAATACTTATTATCCCCTTGAGGTATGACCTAGCAAAAGACAATCTTATCACCGCGCACGTTCTGGCTCTCCTCGGCTACTGACTACCGCAAAAGCTTGCTATACCAACCAATCTTGGTGCCCTTCCTGCTCCTTAATGCAGGTGATGCTGGTGAGGTGTCCTGGTACATGCGGGTGACAGTTCGTAATGACGTGTACACATTTTGTAATTTCCTCTCGAGCTGGTCCCTGTTATTGTCGAGTGTGGTTAGTTGTTGTTCTAGGGCTTCAACATGTCCTTCCTCTCTCGATAATTTCACCTAGAGGATGAAAGAAAAGAAATACACTTAAAACAGGAGTATCAGTAGCCTTCAAGACAAGCTGATCAGTTCCATACACAAATTATTCTTGCTATAACCAACTCTTATGGAAATCTTACCTGAATATGAATATTGTTCTACCCAAGGTAAATATTAGTATTTTTCCATTTAAATGTATCTAGATTTCTCAGTTTACAATGCAGATAAAATTACAAACATAGGAAATATAGAGGTCATGTTTTGTCTTATTTACCTTGAGATCACTAATTTGTTGGTTGGCATTATTAAGGTAATTTTCAAGGTTCTTCTTCTCATCATTTAGCTTGCGCTCATTAGCACGAGACTCCTCAAGACTGAAAGAAAAATGTAAATACTTTTAGACCTCTGAAAGGAAATATCACCAATAGCAAAATAAACATTCTGGCACATATTACACTGTTTCTCTTAAAAAGAAATGAAGACAAGAAAAGAAAAGCACAGGAAAAATAGAAGGACAATTTACCTTGAGGCAAGTTCCTGTTCCTTGGCGGCATGATGATCCTCAAGCTCCGTCAGTCTGCGTTCAAGAAGAGCCAACTCCGTCTGCAGGTTGTCTCGGTCTCTCTCATACTCTGCCAGCTGCACATATTTGGTAGTTATAGCATAATGTTCCCCAAAATTGCTTTATATGATTCATTACTCATACAGTCAATACAGTGTCAATGGGCTGATATTCGTGAAACATTGAAATACTGTTTCAAAATATTTTCAAGCTGTATCAATTTTCAAAGAACAACCACACAACTGTCAATGGGCCTAATATGAATAAAATCTGTTTAGTACCTAAAGAGAGACTGTGCTGTACTTCAAAAGGCCATTCTTAGACTATAACATCCTAGGGAATTTCTCTACTGGCAATGAAAGAAAGGTATCCACCCCTACCTTGGTCTTCAACTTGCTGACCTCCTTCCTACTTTCACTATGACGATCTTCCTCTTGCGTGAGGCGGAGACGGAGGTTTTCCAACTCCTGTGACTTGCCCATACCCTCGGTCTCCAACAGCTGAGAAAAGGGTATGCATTAGAATATTAAGCTCCTACAATATAACGGAACTTCAAATGTCTCAAACTATTCAATGTAAAGTTGGGATGCACTATATATTTTAGTTCTCTTGAAATTTCAATACTTTTTTTGTGTGTCCTTTTTCAAACAATGTGGTTGTAATAACAACAACAACAATAACAACAAAAAAGGAACTCTAAATACAAAAAACGCAACTAACCTGAAGCTTCTTCTTGAGGTCAGAAACCTCCCTGTTGGCATCCTGCTTGGTAGCGCTGAGTTCCCGAAGCTGTGTTGTCATGCGGGCTATTAAGTCTGCATGCTTGGCTTCAGAAACTTCTAGGGCTGAAAAGTGGAAACCAAAGCTGTTGTTTTCTAATTCTTCTGACCAAAATCTGATTCCCAATACGAAACTGAAGATAGTTGAAGTTTAATATTGTGTATATTCATATGAAATCATTATTTCACAGTAGCCTAACTTACTGCTCAGCTTGCTGTCTTTATCATCTATGCGCTTCTGCAAATCTCTCTTCTCATTGTCTGATTTCTTGATGAAAGATTGCAGGTCACTTGAGTGCCGCTCTTCGCTTGTTCGCATTCCCTCGTTCAGTCTTGTTACCTCTTTCTTTAGTGTTACCCGGGTGTCTTCCGCTGATTTTCATAAGAGAAGAAAAATGTTAAAATTATCAGGAACTTTTAATCTCACATCTGATATATTCAGACTTTCAGTAACTAATTAATAAATAAACTAACAGATAACTAGAGTGTTAAGATTGCTTTGGCATCAATTTGGAAATTAAAGTTGGTATAGGCACAAAAATGATAGCAATAAACAACAGGAAAAGCCATAGCATCAACAGCAAAATTGAGTATCAAAGATACCAAAAGATCATAAGCCCTTTACCCTCTTTGAGTTTCTCTTCTGCATCCTCCAAATCCTGCTGAAGTCTACAAGCATCCTCTCGAGCCAGTCTTAAGTCTGTCTTGATAGAGGTGATTTCCACCTCATGATCTCTTCTGGATTCATCTAGACGGCTCTGGAGCTCTCGTATTCTGCGCTCATATGAGTCTTTCTCGTCTTTGAGCTGCTTTTCAAATTGCTGACTGATGAAGAAAAACACATGAGGTACATATGCCACATTCTAACCAATAAGCATTGCCATTTATGAAATGGGACACTACTCTATTTAATTATTTTAAACAATCCCATGCAAACAGTGCCCAAAAAATAAGAAAAGAGAAAATGCAAATGAAATGCAGGCAATTTCTCATTCAAAACACTGAAAGCTTTGTGCTTCAGACACAGCTGTACTGGAATACTTGATGCACTTTCGAAGCACACCACCTTCAGTATAGCAAAACAACAAAAGGCTTATGACTGAACAATTGCAAAAGTTAATATTCTAGAAATTTGCAATATGCTGCAAGAAACTTTGTTAGCATCAGCAAGACTCATTTTTCCAATTTCTTGAGCCTTATCTATGTACAGAGCAAATAGGGTGAAGTTCTTTATAAAACAATATAAACATGATTTTCATCACCATCCCAGTATACTCCAGGAAAATATATAACGAGGGAAAAAGAAAAAGAAGTGAATGCCTCCCACAAACCTGGATGAGTGTAATTCCTCCTTGAGCCTAACAATCTGGGTGTGCAGGGCCCCTTCACTTGCTCGGCCTGCTTCAGCCTTGGTGGAACCCTCGCGACGAAGTTGCTCTAGTTGGTTTTCATAGCTTGACAGATCTCGTTGCAGGACAGCGACCTTTTCTTCTAAGCTGGAGATTTCTTGTTTAGCTACAAAGATGTATAAATACATACTTCTGAGTAATCCAATAATACAAGCATCAAATATCAGTATTCATCCAGTCAAACTAAAAAGCCATTATTTCAAATGAAATCAGCATCTTTATAAGAACCAAACAGGATTATCCAGTACACAAAATCATTATTTCACGAATTAGTATTGTGGGTTGCATTAAAAAGTCCTCCATGACTAATGGAAACTGGCTGTAACTATAAAATGCATACATTCTCTGTGATTCAAGAACACATACATGTTGCACCCAGATAAGATCAATAACAAACCCTTGATTGTAAATTCTCAGCCTAAGAGTTACTGAATTTTGTTATAAATATAAAGTGTATGAGTGGTTGGCACTTCAATAAAGTTTTACAAATTGCAGAAGATCCGATAACATAGGATGCCTCTACATGCAGACCCACCTATCATCATTGACCTATGCTTCTCTTCCTCAAAGCGGAGAGTTGAATCGTCTCTCTCCCGCTGAAGTTTCTCGGTAAATCGCTTCAGGTTTGATATCTCTTGGTCCTTCTTGAGTTCGAGCTCATCTCTCTCCATCTTCATAGAGTGGATGGTCGAGTTCAGTTTGTCTTCCAACTCTGACTGTAGATTGTTCTGGAAATATTAAGATAGGATTAAATAAATTTTTCCGCGGACCAACAATGTTTAGAAATCAACATTTAAATTTAATGCTTGAACTTTGACCAAGCATCTAGTGAACTAACAGTGAATGGCAAAGGAATACTTTGGCTTACCCCCATGACTGATCAAAGTTATCAATGTGTCCATGGGATTCATATAAGGCTTAAAAGCATTTCTTTAATATGTTTTGAACTTATAAATAGACTTTTTATACAGTGGCAACTATTTGTTATCCCCCCCCCAAAAAAAAAATTGTGATGGAAAAATTAGAGAGTTTAAATCATTCTACATATGCCTTTGTACCTTCTCTTTGCGTAAGCAGTCGATGGTCTCCTCATGCTGGTCCTTCATATGCATGATGGACTTCTTGTGTTCAGTTTCCTTTTCATCTAAACGACGTTCTAAGGCAGTGCGAGCTTCTCGTAACTTAGACAATTCGCCCTCAAGCTCACGCTGGAGTTTGTTCATCTGCAAATATGAAAATGAACATCAGTACCTTTAGATATATATAAATACATGTATCTATATATGTACGCAAATATCAATTTATGGACACACACACACACATACATAATTTGGAAATGAAACACTGATTTCACAACCCAATCATTCTTTTACCTGAGTACTGAGACGCTCTTTGTCTGTCGTCAACTGCTGATTCTCTTTCTCTAGCTGTGTTCGCCGAGCCTCGTTGTTTGACCACTTCTTCTCTAAGGAAGTGGCAAAGCTCTCAAGACTCTGCTTTTCTGCCTTTAGAGTAGCTAAAGATTCACGCAAAGCTGCCAGTTCCTTCTCTGCTCCTGTAAGCTTTACCTGTTAAAAAACAAAAAATCATATGATGATGTGCATATTTTTCCGTATCAATACCAAATCAAAGAACTGAAAAATAATAACCAGGGTACAATAACAGTAATCTACCGAAATATCAAATATGGTATATTTCATGCCAGAACAAAAACTCAAAATCAATCAAGTCCAAATAAGAGTACTGCTTACTATATATATATATATATATATATATATATATATATATATATATATATATATATATTATATATATATATATATATATATAAATACATGTACTCCAGTTATAAAGAGTTTTTAAATTAACATCTAAAACAGGTATAAAAGACTACATATCCCTATAATAAATTCTACTAGATACTTGCCTCCATTTCTGCATTCTCCTTGGTCAATCCTTCCTTATCTGAATTGAGACGTTCAATAAGTTTGACTTTCTCTGCTAATGTATTTGTAACAGTGGTGAGTTCACTCTCCAGATTTGTTTTAACTCTTTCTAAGGATGTCAGCTGTCCGTGTAGCTCATTTCGTTCAGATATGATGTCATTCAATTCTAATTCAATCTGTAATAAAGAGAAGAAGAAAAAAATTAAGTGAGCTGTTTTCTATTTGTTTTTCTTTTCAAATCAGAACACACTTTTCAGAACTATATAAGTTTTAAAAGACCAGGAAAAGGAACTGCATTCAACAGTGCACATAAGCACAAAAATGATTAAAAAATGCATCTAAATTAGAAGCCCAAATGACTCACTTTCTCCTTGTCCACATTAAGAAGATTGATCTTTTCATTGAGAGTGGTTATGGTAGTCTCATGACTAGATCGTTCCTCCTCCAGAGCCTCCAGATCGTCTTTGAGTCGCTCCACTTCTGCCCGCAGTTCTGCTCGCTCTGTGCCTAATGCTGCTCTTTCAGTCTCCAAGGAAGTGATCTTAGATACCAGCTGGGACTTGTCTTGGCCTAAGTTGATATTGTAAGACTCGACCTTTCATGGGAAAGAAAACAGTTGTTATTCATCATACTGTTATCTATAAAACACTTATTCTCAATCCTATAGCTTTTGCATGGAAGAGCTGTTGTTTTTCATTAAGAAGTGCCTCATTCTACTCAAGTATAAAGATAATTCTAAATAATTTTTCAAATAGAAACATAAGAAAAAAGAGCAGAACAAAGTTAAAGAAAAGAAAAGAAAAGAAAAGAAAAGAAAAGAAAAGAAAAAAAAAAAAAAACAGATACAAATTGTACCTTCATTAAAAATTTTGTTACTGGATGCCTTAGCACAACATACCTTCTCCAAGGCATCCCTTAGGTCAGTCTCCTGACGTAAGGAATGTGCCAGCTTAGCCTCAAGGTCAGCCCGCTGCCGCTCCATGGCTCGAATCTGGTCCTTCAGGTCATCTCTTTCCTGGTCTAATCGTTCTTCAGCAGCTCGGACCTTCCCCAAGGTTTCAGATAGAATAGTTACCTGTAAAAAAGATTAACACTTTGATACATGGAAATGAATAACTTCCATTTGTAAATAAAAATTCTGGGGTGAATGCCAAGCCATACCCTAAATCTTTAATTAATATTTCATACTAGAAACAACAGGAAACCATGTCACATATCAAAAACCAGTGTTTCATAGAGATTATAGAATGTTACTACTAATACGTAAAAACATGTTAAGACTATTCTTAAAATCTTTTCACAAAAATCTAGAATGAGTAAAATTTGAAGTTAATACATATGTACAAATTTCAAGCAACTGGTAAAATGACCTCTAAAACACACATGTATATATTTAAGAGTTATGTACATATACAATTAAAGGTTTATGTCTATATCTAACTTCCTGAAGCTACATTAAAAACACTTTCCTTACTGCATCACCACTTTCTGAAACACATCTACTTCAAACACCAATAAATTTACAAAATAAAGGATTGAACTATAATTGTCAGACAATGCTGGTCAATCTTGCAATACTATACAATGGACAGTTGATTATTATTCAATATCTCAATTGTTCCTTCCCCTTCTAATGCACTTGCCCTTATATGATCAGTGCTATAAATGTTGAATATCATTATCTATATTTCCTGAATACCTGTCTATTCAATTTCAATAAAACACCAACGGATATGAGATAACAGAATATGATATAGAATTCCTGTGAGACATCTGCTTTTCCGCTGAACCCCTTTCTCCACTGCTTGTCTTTCAATATAACACACACATGCATTCACACATACACTGAAAGAACGATTTGCATTTGTCTTATGGGAAGTAGCAGCATCACTTTAATACTTCAAAGAGAAACATAATTTTGTAGCTACAACTACATTAAAGTTATCTATACAATGTATGTAACAGGTTACATCAGATGACTGACTCTAAAAAATGAAAGAAGATAACACCATACTTAGCCAAACTACAACATGAATGTACCATAAAAAAACAAAAAACAAAAAAAAAACATTGAACTCTCAGGAAGAATATATTTCAGGATTTGATGACAACACTGACCAACTAAGAATAAGTGCTCTTAAAAGGGGCTAGTGTATGAAAATTAATCATCACAAACATGAAATTGACTGAAAGACAATCAGTCTTGATAGAGTACCTCTTTTTTTACCTACTACATCAATACACAGTGAGCTTTTTATTTGTATTTGCAGTCACACAATAAACAGATGTCAAAAGAATTTTTTGCTGTCATAGGACTGCAAAATAGAAGGTAAAACATATTTAAGAGTAAGATTAAACTCAGGACTGCTCTGGTTGTAAGACCACCTAATGTCACAGTGTCCTAGCACCGTTTTTAATGATATATTTACATTAGAAGTTCTCTTGTGAAGTGAAATTTACTTCATATACAACATTGTATTATTGATTACATGCATATTAACTTTGGAAGGTCTTTCATCTGTGGTGTATAACAATCTGTAAATAAAGTTGTCTGGTTTTAAATGCAAAGCAAGACATGGTTATAGAAGACGTCCACATGGTGCACAAAACAGAGGCAGGTTAAGTAATTTACAGCAGAGCCGTCACTTTGCAGAAACACATAGAATGTTCAAAGGATATTCAAAGGAAATCATAATCCACAATCACTAATGTTATCATGACAGCATTTTGGGGATTTTACTGAATCCAGCAGAATATCAGAGAATCTAATATCCTTCCCAAAAATGCACCATTACAGAAAAAAATAGACTGGTAAACATGAGATAAATCATCTCACATTATCATGCACATTATACTTAACCCATCAGTTATGGGTCCATATATTGTCCAGTGTAGTTTTTTTCAAATTTTGTTGTAGACATAAGGTTCTACTTGTTCTCTGCCACCATGCAGTCAATTAGCAGGCCCTGTATGACCGCACCTGATTTTCCCTTTCCTTGAATTTTTATGATTGACTTTTTTAATGCTATTAACACTGATACTGTCATCATTATCATTGAAATTTTAATGTTACAGAAATATCTATTTTTTCCTAAAAAAAAGAAAGAAAAAGGCAAACAGGTCAGGCAGGTAAAATTAACAACTGACTACATGTAAATACGCACTTGTGGAACCATGAGTAAATGCAACTGACAAACTAAAATTACAATGGACATAGCATGTATGTTATGCCATCTGTAACCAATACAGTATATATTTTTCCTTTGAATAACTTTGACTGCTTAACAAATTGCACATTGAAAGGACAACATACCATGGGCAGTAAAATATCACTTTTATATTCAGAAATGGATGAACAGGGATAAACTAAAAACTAACACACACAATCAGCACATATATTTATAAAATAATTTTTAGAGCTCACAGTCCAACAAGAATTTATTCTATTCTTAGGCATGAAAAGTCATGTAACTGCCAGCCATCTTCACATTAACTGCCAATAAGTCATTATAAAAAAAGACATTTATAACCTCTTTTGCTTACTGTCCATCAATATAAAGCAGACACAACAGTTTTAGCGATGACTAAAGAGAAATTCCATATCTCACTTTCATTCTTACTGCTTTTCTGATCTCTAGACAAAAACTACTATTATAAAAGTGCTTTACCTTAGAGCTTTCCTTCGTCGAAGTACAGAAGGAACATTTAAGATGTTCAATTAAGGGCAGATTGACCAAAAGGTTAATACAACAGTGAAGTTAGATGAAAAGTTC